GGATTCAAGTCCTACGCGCAAAGGACGGAGATCAACGGCTTTGACCCACTCTTCAACGCCATCACAGGATTGAACGGCAGCGGCAAGTCCAATATTTTGGACTCGATATGTTTCCTTTTGGGTATTTCAAATCTCACCCATGTAAGTGTGCTGTTGTCCGTAAGCTAGCTTAAAAGCTATCAAATCCAGTGTTCCAGTTGTTTATATTTGATTACTTAAGAGTTTTTGTTGAGTTTGATAATGGCAGTGGTTGTATTCCTCTCAGTAACAAGCGAAAGTCACAAATTGTTATAGTGCTGAAAACTACTGTATTTTGCGAAACAAATTTAAAAATAAAATGAAGTATGAATACAAGAAATACATCTAGTTGTAGTTTCGTAGAAGCTGTCAATAGAGTAAGCATAAGAAGGCATCGACACTTTGAGACTTCGGTCGCTTCATGACTGGAAGTAAATAGCCGTCACGATTTGTTTATAACAATATTGTTCTCTCATAGCAAGTGACAAAAAATAATAAAATAAACATATCCTTTCTGAAAACTGACTCAGGTCAAACTGAACTGCCACAAAAGTGAGAAACAAAATATGAAGAACAACTGTTGAATAATACGAAAGTGCAGTGACCCTGAACTGAGGTTAACTAAGTAAGAAGCATGTGTAGTTGTTTCTCATTCAAAATTTGCATCCTTTTTTGTTTCATCTCACCTGACAGGTGCGAGCCTCCAACCTCCAGGACTTGGTGTACAAGAACGGACAGGGTGGCATCACAAAGGCCACTGTGTCCATTACCTTTGACAACTCCAACAAAAGCCAGAGTCCTCTGGGGTTCGAAACACATGATGAGATCACTGTTACGAGACAGGTGGGGAAAGAAATAAAGGAGGAAACTCTCTGACTTTAGGATTATTATGCAGTCCTTGTATTAACACGCATATACTTTTTTTTTTAGGTGGTAATTGGTGGCAGGAACAAGTATCTCATCAATGGAGTCAATGCCAACAACACTCGCGTGCAGGACTTATTCTGCTCTGTTGGTCTTAATGTCAACAACCCACATTTCCTCATCATGCAGGTCAGTCTTGTTTCAGCGGTGTAGTTGTGGTTGTAAATGGATATGATCTGTCACCCCATTCAAAGATTTTCCTTTTGTTTTAATACATTAGGGGAGGATCACCAAAGTTCTGAATATGAAACCACCAGAGGTAAGACAAACACTTTGCCCATTAGGAGGACACTTATTTCCCTCCCTTCTTAGGACTTATAATATTGAATACTTCTCTTCTTTCAGATCCTTGCCATGATCGAGGAAGCAGCAGGTACCAGGATGTATGAATGTAAAAAGATTAGTGCTCAGAAGACCATTGAGAAGAAAGAGGCCAAGCTGAAGGAGATTCAGACTGTATGTTAATTCACTCTGACTGTATCACTATCTATACTTGTTCGTCAGCAAACTGCTGCTGAAGCAAACCATTTGTTGTGTTTGCTCTTTCAGATTTTGGATGAGGAAATCACTCCAACCATGCAGAAACTGCAGGAGGTAGTTTGGCATTAAGATTTGAACCGACTATCTCTCTCCACAGGTTCAACCCGTGAAGCCTGTGTTCTTTTTGTTTTTACTGTTGTAATATCCATTTCTGAACCTTCCTCTGTCCACAGGAACGATCATCATATCTGGAATACCAGAAGCTGATGCGTGAGATCCAGCACTTGTCGCGGCTGTATGTGGCCTGGCTGTTTGTGTGTGCAGAGGAGACCAAGCTGAAGTCAGCAGAGAATCTAAAAGTGATGCAGGACAACATCGCCAAGATGCAAGCCAGCATGGCAGAGAACGAGAGCAAAGTCCAGGAGCTCACAGCCCAGATTCAGGAGCTGCAAAAGAAAAAAGACCAGGTACTTTACACTGGGGAAGAAAGGGAGCGATTTTTCACAATTTGATTTTCTTTTTCTGTAATAGTGGGCAGATTTTTTCAGTACCTTTGTTGAAGTCTTTAAAATAATTTGTATGCTATAGGTCCATCCTCTGTATGTTTTAATCAAACTGCAGCAAAGTAATCCGTATCAATCTGCTCGTCTGTAGGAAGTAAATGGAGTATTAAAGTCTCTTGAGGAGGCTCTAGCTGATGTTCAGCGTGTGGACGCCAAAGCTCAGAGTGCACTTGACTTAAAAAAATCAAATCTCAAAGATGAAACCAAGAAGAGGAAGGAGCTTGTAAAGAACATGGAAGAGGTAATGGATTAATAAAAATCTTGCTATTCTATGACTTGCAAACAAGGGCAATGTGTACATCTGAATCATTTATTCAAACTGTTGTTTTCCTTGATCTGCAGGACAAGAAAATGCTTGTGGTGAAGGAAAAGGAGGTTTCTGTGTTGACCAAGCAGCTTCAGGCTCTGCAGGAGGAGGGAAAGAATGACAGCGCTGCCCTCGAGGCAGCTGAGCAGCATTTCAAAGCTGTGTCTGCAGGTCTTTCTACCAACGAGGATGGAGAGGAAGCCACACTCGCAGGCCAGATGATGGCCTGCAAGAATGACATAAGCAAAGCAGATACAGAGGCCAAGCAGGTGAGTCTTGCTTTTAGAATAAATATTTTTGCAGAAGGCTGATTATGCTTCTGTGACTGGAAAACGTTTTTTTCACTGACCTTATTCCCTGGGTTCTTATTTTATCCTGAATTTCCAACCATCTATTTTTTTTCTTCCTTATTTATGCTCAGGCCCAAATGACGCTTAAGCATGCCCAGGCTGAGCTGAAGACCAAACAAGCAGAGGTGAAAAAGATGGACAGTGGCTACAAAAAAGACCAGGACACTCTGAAAGCTGTCAAAAACAGCAGGGAGAAACTAGAGGCTGAGCTAGCCAAGCTCAACTACGAAGGTACTAATTCATGATTATTTATGTACCGGTATTTGTTTAAACAGGAGTCACATGCACTCACGTATGAGGTGCCTTTTCTGTATAAACCTGTGTACTAACTGGAGGGTTTTTTATGTCCTTCTGCAGATGGGAAGGAAGAAAGTCTGCTGGAAAAAAGAAGGCAGCTGTCCAGAGAGATAACTAAACTTAAAGAGACGCATGAGCGTCTTATGTCACGTTTCCCCAACCTGCGCTTTGATTACAAGTAAGAACTCAGATCTCATCAAATTATACCACATCTAATGTTATAAAGACATTTAATGATTTTCTAATTAGGGAAGTATTAAAAAAAAATAAAAAGGAGCACTGAGAAACTTTCATGTTAAAAATGTAGAGGTGTGTACATTTATTTATTTATTTATTTTTATAAACTTGTATTCCTTTGCACACTTGGCTGACAGTTCCCTCACCTTTTAGCTTTGTTGTATTGTACCTGTGAAGGGGAGTCTTAGCCATTTGTTAATATATTGATATGATGGCAGATATATATGGGTTTTTATGTGGTGCCAGAGGACACAAGCTAATAAAATGCTAGGACATTTCTTTTCCTTCCTGGGTCCCCACTCTCTGTGGTCAGTTGTTGTTGTTGGGGGGTGTGTGTGTGTGTGTGTGTGTGTGTGTGTGCGTGTGCGTGTGCGTGTGCGCGTGTGCCCACAGTGCTGAACAGTCCAATGATAATAGTTCTGGAGTGTGTCAACACAACATGTAGTTACATTTCTGGGTCGTAGGGTTTGAAAGCGGTTTGCAGTTATGATGTTGGGATAAATCCCCAATAAAGCCCAAAATTTAATTTATAAGAATAAACGAACAAATGAATCACATCCTCTCTTTTGAAAGGCAGGAAAGAGACACTGTGTGGAAAATTTAAAAATAAAAAAACATAAGAAATATGTATTTCAATAATCTCTTAGCTACCTCAGAATATCTTCGATAATTATAATTTCCAATTATTCCAACTCTGTTAATTGATAACTTCATCAAATTTCTTCAGTATACTTATCTTAAAGACTTTGGCCAAACAAAATATGAAAAAATCATTAGAGATTAAATCATTCCTTGAAAAACAGGGTTTATGTGTTTTTAGAGGGAGTGAACACTACTTAATGAACTCAGGTGTGCTAACCTCCTAAGACCTGAACTCTTCCATGGCATGCATTTTTAATTTCTCATTGATATTTGGGCATATTGGGACCCAATGAATGTAAAAACAAAGAAATACCTGATGATTTTTTATTTATTTTTTTACCTGATTTTTGTTTCTAAGAACAATGAGAGCCACATCTGAGGACATTCGTTTTAAATTTTGATAGAACTGTGGCAGTATAATGTCCTTGTAAGTGGATATCAGGCCCTTTAGAGCAAAATTTAGTATTTTGTTCTAGACAACCCAAAATGTGATGTCCACATATGTGGACGCCAGGTCCTAGGAGGTTAATGTTGTTTTTAATGTCCCTCTTTAGGGACCCTGAGCGAGGGTGGGACCGCAGCAAAGTGAAGGGGCTTCTAGCTAACCTGATCACAGTCAGCGACATCTCCTATTCAACAGCGCTGGAGGTCGTGGCAGGAGGACGGCTTTATAACATTGTTGTTGACACAGAGGTAGGTGTGTGTGACCAGTCTGTGTGTTGTTTATTTATTTATTTTCATTCACAGATCAGTGGGATGGCATAACTGAAGTTATTGATTTTTGTTTTTTTGTAGGTGACAGGCAAAAAGTTGCTAGAGAAGGGAGAGCTGCAGCGAAGGTACACCATCATTCCCCTGAACAAGATCTCTGCAAAGACACTTAATGACAGAGTGATCAACGCTGCCAAGAACCTGGTGAGAGAATCTTCTGAGTGTTTGGGTTTGAAAATGTTTGGAGAAGTTGTAAAAGTGCACTTAATTTTTTTTTTTTCCCCCGTTTACTGAAACTTACCATTGACTCTTATTGCATTCTTTCTGTCTTATCTTCATCCAGGTTGGAGTGGACAATGTTCACACAGCTCTGTCCTTAGTCGGTTATGAGTCTGACCTACGTAAAGCCATGGAGTATGTGTTTGGCGCCACACTGGTGTGCGACACTCTGGACAATGCCAAAAAAGTGGCTTTCGATAAGCAGGTGATGACCAAGACAGTCACACTCGGTGGAGACATCTTTGACCCACAGGGAACCCTGAGTGGAGGTGAGAGCAAGGAGGACGTGTGTGCTCTGTCATGTGTTATTTATTGGATTTTGTTGCCACTGTTTTATGATGACTTTGAACATTTTACCTGCAGCGATGGTTTTATTTGAACTCACTCAAGCACTCAAAAAGTAAACTGGCTTTTTTTCCTCCTCTCAGGTGCTCGCTCCCAGTCTGCATCAGTTCTGTCCAGCCTGAAGGAGGTGAAGGAGGTTCAGGACAACCTGAATGAAAAGGAGGCCCAACTTCAGGATACTGAACGGCAACTGGCCAGCCTGAAGGGAACCGCTGAGAAGTATGTACATGCAAACACACAAAATATGCCCATGTTTTAACTGTTTACAGCAAAACTCTTAAAAACCTTGTTTTTAAGACTTAATGCACCACAACGCCGTTTAGTATTTAAAAGCAGTGGGAAAAAAACACAACAGAAACACACTGTGATGTAGCTGCCAGCATGTTTTCTCACCTACCCTGGTACATTTCCTTGTTCTTTTCACCACACTTCTCTCTCTCTCTTGCAGGTATCGTCAGCTGAAGCAGCAGTATGAACTGAAGGTGGAGGAAGAACAGATTCTGCAGGCCAAGGTGCAGCAGAGCTCCTTCCACCAGCAGCAAGAGGAGCTGGAGAGGCTGCGCAAAGCAATTGGTCAGAGAAATCAAAATACGTGGGGCAACAAAAAACCATCCAGTCTGCACTTTGTGTTTTCTAACTTGATCAAATGTGCTGTTTGTTAATCCAGAGGAGAGTGAGGAGACGTTGCGTGTTACTAAGGAGGTGCAAAAGCGGGCTGAAGAGAAATACAAGGTGCTGGAGAACAAGATGAAGAATGCTGAAGCTGAGAGGGAGAAGGAGCTGAAAGCTGCCCAGCAGAAACTCAATACAGCCAAGGCCAAAGCCGATGCCTTCAACAAGAAGCTGAAGCAGAAGCAGCAGGTTAAATGAACTTTTGACTGCTTTGAATAATTGCTACAATATACAATAATATATTTTTAATTTTAGCCAGAATTTTAGTCAGCCAGTGTGTGTCTGTCTGTTTTGTTTTATTTATTATTTATTTAACTCTTTCTTTGCTCATGTTTGCAGGAGGCTGATGCTGTGGCCCTGGAGCTGGAGGAGCTGCAGAGGGAGCAGGCTGGCTACGAGCAGCAGATTCAGGCTGTAGACGAGGCGATGAAGGCCATCCAGGAGCAGATTGACAGCATGGCTTGCACTGTATCCCAAAACAAGGTATTTGGGCCATTTTGAACATGCAAAGTAGCTCCCAGAAGTCTTTTGGCAAATAGACTTAGATGAGTTTATTACTGCTCCACTCCAGGGGTGGAACTCGTTCACGTGAACTTAAAAAGTGTTGTGATTTATCACAATCAATTTGTCTGTGTGGGTTCTCAGTCATCCAGGTCATGACAGTCTTAAGAGCTTGAAAAAGAGGGCGACTGGACTCTCCTTCTTTTGTTAAGCTCTTACGAATCCCAGTCGATTATTAACTCAGATCTTTTAAGTAAAAGTCTGACAACTTTAATTAGGCTGTTACAGGGTTTCCACGTAGTTGTTTTGGTCCTCATTATGAATTATATAGTTTTTCTCTTGTGGATTATTGGGCTGAGCATGTGCCATCTTTCTATGTAAAAAAAACAAAACAAAAAACACCATCAAATGTGATGTTTATAAATTTAAGTATCCAAATGCTTTCCTAATTTATTTTTTCTGTTGTAATGTAGGAGGCAGTGCGTAAAGCCCAGGAGGAGCTGGCCAAACAGAAGGAAGTGATTGTGTCACAAGACAAAGCGCTCAAGGTATATCTATCTATACATCTATATATATTTATTAATTAAATAATGTTACAAGCCTTCCACAGGAGGATTGTTGTTGTAACTGCAACAGTTTCAGTTTCTGACTCAAACATTTTAAAACATTTCACACTCCTCAGCACTGAGAGCTTCACAACTGGTTAGAACTTTCAGATATGACTGATTAACTGAATTGTTTGTCCATCTCAACCCTCCAGACAAAGTCCACTGAGGCCAATAAGCTCAGAGAACAAAACAATGAGGTCCAGCTGAAGATCAAGGAGCTGGAACATAACATCAGCAAACACCGCAAAGACAGCCAGGATGCTGCTGACAAGGTACACGCAAACTCTCATTAGCCCACAGTCCTCCCACTGCAGTAACACTTAATGTTGTCTTGATCCAGAAGATTGGAGTGAGTTTCATCTTTTCTCGTATGACTTGAGCATCATAAACACGTTTCCATCTCTCAGGTGACTCGGATGCTGGAGGAGCACGACTGGATCAATTCAGAGCGCCACTTTTTCGGTCAGCCGAACACTTCTTATGATTTCAAGACCAACAACCCGCGTGAAGCAGGCCAGCGGCTCAAGAAGCTGGAGGAGACCACCAGCAAGCTAGAGAGGAACGTTAACAAGAGGGCTATGAATATGCTGAACGAGGCAGAGGAAAGGGTGAGGAGGGACGAAAAAGTATATTTGTAACTCAAAGGCCTCAGCTACTGTCTGTTCCTCCATGTAACATCATTCCCTTCTGCAGTACAATGATCTGATGAAGAAGAAGAGGATTGTGGAGAACGACAAGGCAAAGATTTTGCAGACCATTGAGGAGCTGGACCAAAAGAAAAACGAGGCTCTTAACGTGGCGTGGCAGAAGGTATACTTCTCAGCACCTTTATTTATTCTTTCTCCTTTACTTATACTTATTGTCACCTTGCTTTGTTTTAAACTTACCATTGCAGGATTTTCAATAAATCTAATATCTGTGGATGTTATAAATCAGTAATGTCAGTGAACAGGACTTATTTTGTGCAGCAGCCACTTCTGCGTCTTTCTCTAACAGGTTTCAGTCACTATGAATATAAAAAGGTGTTAGGATCATAGGCTGTATGAAGAGTGTCACCACCCCATCTTTAAAATGAGGTCAGACAGTGAAACTGTACATATGTTAGGTAATCCTCCTTTCTTACACTCAGGTCATTTTTGTATATTTAGTCATCCTAACATTTTATTCAGTCTGATCCAAAACGGGTGACTGAGCCAAGAATCACATCAGGCTTCTGTAGGTTTTGCCCCCTAGTGGCCATTAAGAAGAAAGCAGGTTGGCTGCCTGTTTTACAGGAGTCACATAGTTTCTTTTTCTGCCTCCATACGACACATATATCATTGCCTCCTTCCTGTCTTGTTGTAGTTTTCTTTGTTTGTTTCTTAGTATCCTGTAGTTGTGGCATTTCAGATACTGGCTTTTGGTTGTTCCTTTTTTGTTTAACTTTAGAATAATTAATTTATTGCCCATTATCTCTCACTGTAGGTAAACAAGGACTTTGGCTCCATCTTCTCCACCCTGTTGCCAGGAGCCACAGCAAAGCTGGCTCCTCCGCAGGGCTGCGGTGTCCTGGAGGGCCTCGAGTTCAAAGTGGCCTTGGGTAACACCTGGAAGGAGAACCTCACAGAGCTCAGTGGTGGGCAAAGGTGAGTAACCTCATTCAGTATGGCCTTTTAGTGTCACTTCGATTGCACCTAAACAATACTGTAAATAAGTTGTCTGTTTTCAGATCACTGGTGGCCCTGTCTCTCATCCTGGCCATGCTGCTGTTCAAACCCGCTCCCATCTACATCTTAGATGAAGTGGACGCTGCTCTGGATCTGTCTCACACACAAAATATTGGGCAGATGCTGCGGACGCATTTTAGACACTCTCAGGTAAGTTAAAGCATGAAGGTTTTCACTTTATTTCACAGAATACACTTCCTGTCGTGAAATACCGTAAACCATTATTCCTCTTTTAAACCAAGTTAATGGGTAAAGTTTTTCCAAACCTTGTAATTTTTATTGTCTTTGCAGTTTGTGGTCGTGTCACTAAAGGACGGCATGTTCACAAACGCCAACGTCCTATTCAAGACGAAGTTTGTCGACGGCATGTCCACAGTGACGCGGACCGCGCTCAGCCAGAGCGACCCCAAGAAAATCCAAGAAAAGCCATCACAGAAAGAGAAGAGGAGCAAACAGCTCATCAGCTAATCATTGCACTGAAATTTCATCGCACATTATGTCATCTAAAAACCTTGTAACATAACCTAAGGAGGTATCGGTTAATAAGAGTTTTCTCTTTATCTCATGTGTTCTTCTTTGTTTACATCTTTGCATTTCAAACAATAACGAGCTTTATTTTGTCTGAACTGTCCTTATTTATCCTTTCTCTTTTGTGGTTCACGTTCCCCTGCTTCCTGTCATCTGATTTATGTGCAGTTTATATTTTAGTAAATAAAGGAATAAATGCATTTTTGTCTGGTCTTGTTAGTTCTCCCATTGAAAGGGGGGGGGGAGTACATAATTCAATTTGTTACTCAAACATATCGAGTAATATGTGATATAAAAGGGCACAGAGAAAACTGTACGACACACTTTAATCTTTTTCGATACAAAACCCTACGACAGGGGACGGGAACTCCAGGCCTCAAGGTGACCTGCACGTGTTAGATATCACCCTGGGTCAACATAACTGAATCAAATGATTAGTTCATTACCAGGCCTCTTCAGGACATGTTAAGGGGCAAATTTAGCCATTTAAATAAACTGTTTTGGATCAAGGTCACATTTACAACCTGCAGGACACTCGGCCCTTGAGACCTGGCGTTCCCCCACCCCTGCCCTAGACATTAGTGACACCATAGCAGGCTGATATCAGCATTAAAAAAAAAGCTAATCGTAAGGTGTTTTGCCTTACGAGGAGTTACACTCATTGAGTGCATTTGTTCCTAGTGCCTTCCACTGAGGCTGAAAGCGCTTAAACATGTGGTTTTAATACAGAGCCTATTTGGAATTAAGTGAAGAGTAATTGGTGCAAATTATTAAGGGGATTTTATTTATTCAGGGACAAATTCAAACAACTATAGCATCTCTTTGAAGTTGACAGCAGGTTTTTGTTTTTAAAAGACTTCACAAAATAGCCTTACATCTTGCTCATCCATCAGGCAAAAAACCTTAATTTTTTTTAAGATCCCAAGAGTTCTCCAGTAGCCCCCGTCCTTTCACCACTAAGCAGTGATGGTGTTCACAACCCCTGAAAAGCCCCCCCCCCTCCATCCTTGTCGACTAAGGTGCGCAACCTTCTGTAGTTTCCAATGTTAGGCAAACCCACGACAGCAGTAAAGCTCCCAAAATTGGGGCTACAGGAAAACAGTGTCCACAAACCTAACACACTGGTTTATATATCATTTATCGTCAGCTTACTGTCCATTTAAACAAATAAATCTCAACAAGTTACGATAACAGCCTCGCCCTTCAACATGTCACTGAGTGCAGATGTAGAGCAAGGTTTGTTAGTCTCTTCAAGCTTTGCCAGCCATAAACATGAAACAGTCTGCATAAACAGGTGGGAGTCTCTTGGGCAACCCAGCATCGCAGCTCATGGGAATTATTATTATTATAGAGTGGGATATTTGTGAATCTCAGAGCATCAAAGAGGTCGGGGAAGTGTGCTAATGTATGGTCACTGATGAAGAAGGAAAAAAAGAGACACCGATGCTGTATGTTCTTGCCGCTGTGCGCT